CGGCCTCACGGCAGCGCCTCAGCCCCGCGGGCCGGGGGTGCGGATGTGGCGGGCGGGGGGCAGCGCGTGCCCCCCACCCTCGGCCACGACACTTCGGGTTACGGGGCGATGAACGCTGTGGCGGGGCTGGCGTGAGGCGAGCAGGACGGAGCATCGGCTTCACGGAATTATAGAATCACAGAATGTTCTGAAGTGGAAGGGACCCACAAGGATCATCGAGCCCAACTCCTGGCCCTGCAAGACCATCCCCAAGAGTCACACCATGTGCCTGAGAGTGTTGTCTGAATTCTTCTTGAACTCTGTCAGGCTTGGTTCTGTGACCGTTTCCCTAGGGAGCCTGTTCCAGTGCCCAACCAGCCCCTGGATGAAGAAACCTTTTTCTAATATCCAGCCTAAACCTTTCCTGACACAACTTCAGGCCATTCTCTGGGGTCCTGTCACTGGTCACCACAGAGAAGAGATCAGTGTCTACCTCTCCTCTTCCCCTCACAAGGAAGTTGTAACTGCAATGAGGTCTCCTCTCAGACTCCTCCAGACTGAACAGACCAAGTGCCCTCAGCCACTCCTAATACGGCTTCCCCTCAAGGCCCTTTATGATCCTCATTGCCCTCCTTTGGACACTCTCTAATAGCTTTATATCTTTTTTATCTTGTGATGCCCAACACTGCACACAATATTCAAGGTCAGGCCACCCCCGTGCAGAGCAGAGCGGGACAGTCCCCACCCTTGACCAGCTGGCAGTGCTTTTTGCCTGATGCCCCCCAGGACACAGTTGGCCCTCCTGGCTTGGGCTGACCAGGGAGGATAGCCTCTGGCTGAGTGGTGGTCTACTTGTTGGTCAGCCATGCCAAACTTGGGAAAAGCCTCTGGATCAAGCAGGGCTGTTTGCTCAGGTGTTTCCAGCTGACAAGTGCAGCCTGGACATTGCAGGTGGAGGGAGTCCAGGCACAGGGCTGCGCTGCCACAGCCACAGCTTTGGAAGCACAATTCCTTCATCCAGGGTTCCTGCTTCAGTGACAGGCAGTATGGCTAAATTGTGTACCAAAATGACCAGAAGGTGGTAACTTTAAAAAAACCCTGCTTCACTGTTCTTGTGCCACTGGAGTTGGGATGGTGTTTCCACAAGATGCATCATCTTTAAATTCTGGGATTGCCAAGCTGCTGTGGCTGCAGGTCTGGAGATGCCCAGGAGTAGGAAGGGAGCAGGCTGTGCTCCTACAGGCAGTCCTCCTTTTAGGAATGTGGAAGAAGAGGAGGATTTGACTGGCGATTATAACCCTCCTATTCCTTGTCCATGTTCCCCAGCTGCCCTCAGGACGATCACCCCAGGTCACGAATGAAACAGAGAGACAACCCACCTCTACCCTCTGAAGTCACATGAATCCTTTCTTAGCCAAATGGCATTGAAGTACTCTGCGATTGCAGAAAACTTTTTGCAAATTGAAAATAGGCTGTCATGCTTAAAGGAAGTGACTCAAAAGACTTGGGGGGCAAACAATTTTTCTACTGAGGCAAGCGCATCACATGGCTGTGACAGCACATTTTCTGTATCAGTATCGTGCAAGATTCAATGCCTATCACCACTTTACTCTGCGCTCCCCAGGTCATCTACAGGTGACTGTACACTATGATCTTCCATTCACTGGAGAATCACATCTCCTTGCTATCTCTCATATTTGACTATTGTTACATGCATGTGTAGATCTGCCATATAAAACCAGCTGTGTAGCACAGTGATTCACAAAGAGGTGCACAGCATCACACTGAATCATATACATTAATTGTACATCTCAAAGATGCATGGTATCAGGGTGAATCATGGAAGAACACTTTACTGATTAATTAAATACAATAATTTAATGAACATCAGAGGCATTCCTCCAAGGTGTGATAGTCTGGTACAAGAGAGGGTAAAAACCAGTCAAAACAGTGGAGCATAAGCACAAGTATACATTTCTGTACTTAAGTATACATTTCACTGAACTGTAATAACTTAATAGGAGTAAAGTTCAGCAACATCTTAAGCATTCAGTGCAACAAGTACATGAAGATGGTAAGAAAGTCAAAAAGTGGGCACTGGTGACCCCCATTTTGCCCATCTGCAGGTTCAGTATTCTGGCTTCCCCTGGTTACAAAAGTTTCAGGCCCTTCTTGTCTGATCTGAGAGCACTTGTGCTTTATTATGAACTGATATGCTGGTAAGCCTGGAGAAGTCTCCAGTCAAAGGTGCCACATTTTAAAAGAACACACAAATATCAAACACAAGTCACATGAAACTCATGCTCTGGAGGAGGAGAAGTGCCACATACTTAGTCTCTTAAATGCTGTGACTTAAGTGCTTATCCTTCTTGTCTGAGGCAATTGCCAATTAGTCAAATGATTTAAAAATCTATTTGAATGTTAAATCACTTGATTCATAGGCATTTTCTTCAGACACTTGAACACTTGCATTCAGAGGTCTCTTGCCCAGCATGCTTAGTCCAGGTATTTTGTCTACAGCTGTGTATCTGCAGAGCTGGGATTTATCATGTGTGACTTTAGGCCCTGGTTGCAGAAAGAAAAACTATTCCAGTAGCACATGAGAAATGAGGGGGTGGTTAATATTTCCTACTTCAAGAGTAGGAGTGCAGAGTCTGCACCAGGCACTGTGTTAACATGTCACTTGTTTAAAACATGTAACTGCACCTGCTCTGTTAGAGAACAAGTGAGAGAAAGCAAAAGAGCCTGCACGAGAAGTGTCCAAGCCCAGTGCTACACTATTGTGAAGATGGAATTATTACAACAAGGTGTGCATTTTGGAGCTTGTACTCTTTCTGCCTTCTGGCTAGTTAGTCTGCATATTTTCAAGAAACAACCAGGAACCAGTGTAATCAGAGTTTCTTAAGTGGTCATAATAAGATACAAAACAGTGAGCCAACATGTTATGCTTTCCCTCCTTTTTGAGGCAGCAAATTCAACCTGAGAAACTCAAAAATTACCTCTGGATTGCTCAATCCTCATCTCAGACTTCTTCAATTTTTAAGGAACAGGCAGAAAAAGAAAATATTTAAAAGCTAACGAGCTAACAAGCTAAGTTATTGTAAAGCCACAACAATTGGCAAAGGATAAAGGCAGCTCTAGCAACTTTTAACTCAGTTTTAGACTTGAAAGGATTCATATGAATTGTCTCTTTACATCTCATCACAGGGTGTGCAGTGTTGTCTCACCACCTTTCAACATGGAAAATACAGTTTCATGCATGCGTCCAGGAGGTTTAAATCATCCTGCCTGCCAAAAGCAGCAGGCACACCCCTCCCCTGCCTGTCGAGCCCTGTTCCTGATGCCCACACCTTCTGTCAGCACGGTGTTTGCACGGCTGCACAGGGAGCTGGGCTGTGGAGAAGCTACTGCAGGGAAAAGCAATCAGTTTTCACCCTGATCAGCATGCAGGTCATTGGGCAATCGCACGAAGACTCGTGCCAGTGCAAAGGCAGGAAAGGAGCAAAGGGCTGATATAAGCAGCTGAGAGAGGATGGAACCTGGAAGTGTTTTTTTAGCAGTAGTGCTGGTTTATGCCAGCTTAAACTGTACGTGAAACTCTAGACACAAATAATCTGGAGGCGGACACCTGCTCCGTATTTTTCAATTCTCCTTCAAGACTGTCTCAGAGTTCATCTCGGGCTTAGTACGGAGGTTTCTTTGAAGCACTGCCGTTTCTCTGGTTGCTATGGCTTGCTTCCATTTCTAGCTTAAAAATTGGCCAGGTGGCCATTGGCCAGGTGGAGGTCATGCCTGGGGTATACTGGGAAGGCTGTGCACACATTGCTGTAGAAGATGCAGCACTAGTGTACGCTAGTGGTAATGCAGCTAGTTTGAGCAGTATTAGCAGTAACAAGGTGGTGGCATTAATTTTATGCCATTTATTCAATCAGGTTTGTGACCTAGAAGAGGTAGATGAGTGGCTGGAATGAAAGCCCTCTCTATGTTATTTTTGCTTGCACTTTACTGACTGAAATTCATGCAGGTATGTCCACATAGGCTGCAATCCACTTCTGCAATTACACCCCAAAACATAACTGGCAGGAGTGATTTCATAACTAAAAGACAACTTGCATGGTACTGATAGCCAAAATAAGCTGCCTTTTCTCTTTCTGAGAGATGGCAAGTGGAAAATCTAAGGAATTCTCTTTGGATTTGGCTCTGAGGCAATCCTGCCATTCCTGATGTAAATTTACCCACAAACACCGGCCTGATGCTACATGCAGCCCGATGCCTGCACATGCAGGCTGTGATTCTTGTTTGCTTCATCTGCCCAGTGCTGTGGGAAATGGCTTCTCAACTTTCATGGGAAATGAAGAAAGGGCTCGTACTAACCATCATACATCTCTTAGACTCCTCTTTGTTGCTGTTGTTTTCTTGTCTGGGTTTTTTTTTTATTACAGAGAAAAATAAGGAATTTGTGAAATTGCCTATATGGAATATTTAATATAAAATAATAACTACATTATTTAATATTAATAATTCATAAAATTAAGTACAGAATTTTAAAATATAGACTAGAATTATTTAATA